CCTACACAGAATCATTTAGAACTATGTCATGATGAAGGCAAAAGGGATGCAGTGGCTCAGTAGCTAAGATGCTGAGCTTGTAGATGAGAAAGTAGTTGGCAGTTCAGCAGTTCAAATCCCTAGCACCATGTAATGGAGTGAGCTCCCATTACTTGTCCAAGTAGAATGAAAGTAGAAAAATAGGGACCACTTTGGTGGGAAGCTAACAGTGTTCCATGCACCTTCGGCGTTTAGTCATTCCAGCCACATGACCACGGAGACGTCTTTGGACAGAGCTGGCTTTTCGGCTTTGTAACGGAAATGAGCACTGCCCCCCAGAGCCGGAAATGACTAGCATATATGGGCGAGGGGAACCTTTACCTTTAGTGATTAAGCTAGAAACCAGGAGACTGAATTCTACTCCTGCCTTAGGCACAAATCTCGCTGGCCAGTCAGACCTCTGAGCTCCAAGAAGGAGGGCAAGGACAAACCGCTTCTGAAAATAGTTGCCAAGAACCAATGTTGCCTCAAAGGGAATTAAAACAAAAACCACAGAATCAGAATGTTCATTCTTTCCATTGTGCTGAGAGGAAACCACGGCAAATGCTGAGTGACATTTGCATCAATTTAGGTTATTTGTGAAATTCCAGTACAAAAATAAAATATTTGCCCATATCGTCCTGTCCCACCTTTATATATACAGATGAAAATCTTAGCCTTTAGGTTAATAAAATAACCATTACACCATAAAAAACAGCCTAAAGAAATAACACATACTGCTTTTCCATAGAGCAGAATAATATTTGAAACACGCAAAACTGAAATAAGAAGCACAAGGTTAGGGTTAGTGTTTTTATTAATCTCAAGGTAAATTCTCCATACAGAATGGCATGTTCAATATAACTGAGCAAACTGTAATATTTTCCAGACTTCCTTTTTCCAAAATTAATCGCAATATTACGTAATGGTAAGATGGGCTTTTGGGCCATCATATAAAGTATGAATCAGTTATTCTCACACATGGTTCTGGCCCAGGTATTTCTGAAAAAGGCAGAGTTCTAAAGCATCCAAGTTGCTAAAAAGAGAATGCATTCGTATTATATTTAAGGCTGCTGAAATCACTTTATTGAATAATTTACTTTTGTCCCTTGGTTTTAACATAAGCTGCTTTATGGAACAGGCTACAAAGCATAGATGAATACAGTATTTTTATGATGTTGGTTAAAACCCAAATACTAGGCAGATCTTACAGGAAGTAGCCAACAATTTTCAGGGCCATGTTTTATATTTTTGCCAACATAATTTTAACATTTGTGATTTCCTCAGTGCAACTAAAGACACTAAGATGGTTTAAAAAAAGAAAGAACAGAAACAAAGTAAATAAGCAGGCCTCCATTTCTTCAGTAGTGATGGTCGACTTATAACAGTTCGTTTAGTGACTGTTTGAAGTTACTTATGACCATTTTTCACACTTACGACTGTTGCTGCATCCCCATGGTCACGCGATTTCTATTTGGATGTTTGACAATTGGTTCATATTTATGACAAATGCAGTATCTCGGGTTCACGTGATTCCCTTTTGCAACCTTGTGATAAGAAAAGTCATCGGAAAAGTTTGATACACTTAACAGCAGTGTTACTAATTCAACAATTACAGTTATTCACTTAATGCATGTGGCAAGAAAAGTCGTGAAATGGGGCAAAACTCACTTAACAAACTTCTCACTTAACAACCTAAACGTTGGGCTCAGTTCTCAAGAACTACCTGTTGTTAGGATTTTATTAAGCAGATAAAGGCCCTTAGCAAAGTCAGATTATATTATCGTTATAATATAATCGTTATAATAATATATCATTATAATAATTATCATTAGACATTTAGACAAGTGATAAATTATTATTAGGATTTAAAGAGGAGTTAATTAAATGATGTATAAGGTAAAGGGGTAGTACACTCAAATTAGTAATGACAGGGGAAACTTTTTGAATTATTTGAATTAGGAATGGAATTTTTGGAATAATGAAATAAGAACATGCAATGAAATTGCGAATGTGACAGATAAAAGTATAAAGTATAATGAATATGAAGATATGACAATTATTTAAAGTAAAAAGAAATAAGAAATGAATAGAAAATATAAAAAATAAGTTTGAGAAAAGTATTTGAGAAAATTTATCAAAAATATGTAATGATATGATATGAAATCAAATGTGAAAGATGAATATGTAATCAAGGTCATGTTTGTATGGAAATGTGAAAACCTGCAATCATGCTGTTCACTAAAAAAGATGTTTTTGAAATGTGAAAAAATAAAACACTTTTTATCTTATATTCTCCAGTTACTACAGCTTACAAACCAAAATCACCAGTAGCTTTAAAACAGGAAAGGGAGAATGGTAGATCCACCGGTAAATATTCAAAGGTCTAGTAGGTTTTGTTTTTTTAAAAAAATCTTAATTGTTTAATAGCAGCAGCAACCAAATGTTTTGTTTTCCACTTTAAAAGAAACGGGAAAAACAAACAAAGACAAGGACAGGACAAAAGGAAGCAAGTTTTTGTGCGACTAGTGTTTGACCGCTGAATCAGTGCTAAAATGTAATCTTTGGGTTAAGAGTAAAGCAAGGGTGCCTCCAAATAACAATACTTCCTACAAACTACTCTACTGCATCTTACTTCTCAGAATTTTAATGAAAAAGGGACAAATGTAAAGGAGTTTAGAAGGAAGTCTTCTAGAATATCCCCATTTCTTTCCTTTTTTTGATATCTCTCTGGACTTGGCAGAGAGAACAAGCAGGCAAACACCCCACAATGAAGGTATCCCCACAGATGGATCCCTGTTGAAAAGAAAAGAAACCAAATTAATCCATAACCTTTCCAATAAAATCATGATGTAGATATATGGAATCATGAAAAGCTAACTCTGTGTTGGGTGGCAAAATACAGGCAGTCCTTGACTTACAACAGTTTGTTTAGTGACCGTTCAAAGTTACAGAGCGCACGCTAAAGAAGCACCCAGGGGCTACCACCGAGAAGGTTGTTTTTCATGATCCCACAGATGACAATCCCTAATAGATGGGACTTGTGACACATTCTGCCTTCTCATCCTTATGAGCCAAGTAGAGGCGATAGTTATGTTTGGTGTGAAAAAAGTATCATTTTATTTTCATTTTTATAAGTCTGAAAGATTATGGCCTGCTGCAGATAACAAATGGAAGAATTATCTGTTCACTTCCCAGGTCAGGTTTTTTCCTCTCACAAATTTCTGGATTGTTTATGCACTGCCTTTCTGAGGACAGCTTGCCCCAACCAACTCACTGTAGCCAACTCACTGAGGGAAAACTTGCCATGTGACAAAAATTACACTAAAGCAGAAATGATGGAAAAGAATCAGTGGTGGTATTCTCCCGGTTCAGCCCGGTTCTCCCGACCTGGTAGCGCCGATGAGCACCAGAGACTGAATCTGCTCTCTTCACCGCTCTGCTGTTTGGCCCTCCTGGGCTCCCATACTCACCTTTATTCCCTGCTTTTGAAGTGCAGCTGCTTTGCGCAGCACAACAGAGTGCCGCGCGGCAGCTGCTGAAGCGTCAGGGAGATTGCAGGCTTGCAGGAGGTGAGTTGGAACGCCTCTGCGCCTGCGCAAATGCCTCTGCGCCTGTGCGCATTTGGCACACACATGTAAGCAAAGTGTGTGCACATGCGCAAAGCATGCCCACCAAGCCACGCCCAGTGGTAAAAATCTTTGAATCCCAGCACTGAAAAGAATCAATGAAGAAAAGATGACAAAGGAGGGACAAAATGAAATGTGACTGACAAAAATTAAAATAATTTTTAAAATAATTTTAAATAATTAGATTGAATTGTTGAATTTTACCTTGGTGAGTTGTCCCATGGTGAGTTGGCCATGACAAGTTATCCTGCAACAAGCGGGTTGTGGCAAATTGCCCCAGCCCGTTTCTGAACTGATATTTCTCTCTTAAGTTCTACTTATGAGTCTAGTTTGTGTGTTTGTTTGTTTTTAACTAGAGTTTATAAACCTGAAGTTTGTCTAGTCTTGGGCAAGGTAATCTACTTACAGGGATATTGTATTTTGTCCTGTAGACAGCTCGCATGGCCACAGTTGCACCACAGCAACAACATTCATTCATAGCTGTAGCAACCTGGCATGACAAACAATGGAAGCAGAACATTCCACAGAGACCTATAGAGAGGGAGAAAAAGCCCTTGTAGAAAGATTTTGGCACAGTGTTGAGTGACATAAGATTGATGGCCCAGAAAGTGCAAATTATACAATTACTGCAACATTAAAACTGCAAGTGAAAATGCTAGTTAAAACATCAGCTAGGAGAGGGGAGGGCTGAAAATTTTACAAACCACATTAAATTAAAACCACAGCCCATTGCATTTTTCTCTATAGTGATGTTCCCAACTGTTATGAAAAAGAATCAAGGAAATTACTGTCGGAGAGAAACTGGCTGAGTCAGGGAGAGGCGTCAAACAGGGAACTAGTCTGAAATCCATACATGAGTGAAGTCTGATCTTCCTTGAATGCTGTTTAACCTTATCTAGTTTGACCCAGATGGGGACTGCCAGTCTGAGAAGATTCCTATGTTATAGGCTTGAGTAATAAAATAGCTAATTGAATTTTTTGCACATGGGTTGATTGTGCCTGACAATTACCAATGGAAGAGAATATTTATAACTCCCATTTGAGCTGTTGTGTCCTTGATATTCTCTGAACTTGGTTGTTTTTGCAGATATTTCATTCCCCAAGTAAGTAACATCTTTAGTACTAGTAGTGATGCTGACCTAGCACTGGTGATATTCCCTACCTGGGTAATGAAACATGTGCAAGAAAACAACCAAGCTCCAAAAACAGCAAGTTTATGAAAATTAAAAATCAAAACCTCTGGAGAACATCATATTCTTTTCTTAAAAAAAATCTTTTAGCATAATTCTTCAGTTGTGTAGCATCCGGTGCAAGAAACCAGGCACCGGAATAGAATTTACCTCATGCTTTATACAAGAATCAGATCTACTAATGGTCAAGGCAGTTTAGAGCTAATTAAGAGTCAACAGAATTCATTGGGGGGAGGCTGATCCTTTGGGAGCATAGCGACTCCAAACTGATGGTGTGTTTAACCCCACCCTCAGGCTCAGCCTGCTCGTCTCCTTCATGTAAAACTTTAAAAAGTTCCATGCACAACTTTTAATAGTATAGAAGCCGTGTCTCCTTTTATATCCTGCCATCCTAAATCCAATCCAATAGGATGTTCAATAATTAAACATCTATTGCTCAAATTATAAGGTACAATTGACTTCTGCAACCTATCCAGTCTGGGAGGATATTCAGCCCAATCTTCCCAAGAAGGTTTTGAGAACCCCACTTTCAGTTACTGTCTGGGTCACTTACAGACTCCACAATCGCTAAAGCAGTCACATACATCCGTTTGCCAATTGTTTGTCTTGGGCTGGGTCGCCACCACCTGTGGCTGAGTGACAACCTTTGGTTGAACATTCATTGTGGGCAATATTCTAAGAAAAAGAAAGAAGACAGTCAAAAAGAGAAGAGATCAATGAAGAGACATGGTAGAAGGTGATCTCAGTCCCAATTCCACAGAATGGGATCTGTTTGTTAGATTCAATTCTGGATGAAGTCTTTCTGATACACAAATTAGTACTGCGAGAATCTTAAACTCTCAACCTGGGACAAAGTCATACGGAATGTCCAATTGTCCTCTGTCATTTTGAAAGAGTGGCTCCCGCTGCACTCAGCTAATTGCTTCTTCCTCCCTTGGTTCTCGTCCCTGAAATTTGTGATCTGGAACCTGGGTGACTGCTGGCAGGCCATTGGCTTACCTCAATTTCTGAAAGCTAATTAAGTTGACCAATGGTCTGTCTTATGGCCGATAGTCAGTCTAGTAGTCTGGTATGATACAGTTGCCTTCTTCCTTTTTTTGTCTATGGAGATTCTCAATCATCCAGGTCATGGTTGTCCCAAAGGTGCTTTTCTAAAAGGCAAGTGGACCATGCTGTGCTATTAACTAGTAGTCATATAGGAACAAGTGTAGAGGAGGGAAGCATCATTTAATATTTGCAGATTCTCTTATCAATCAATCATAATAGAGCTGGAAAGAGACTTTGGAGGTCTTCTAGTCCAACTCGCTGCTCAAGCAGGAGACCCTATCCCATGTCAGATAGGTAACCGTTCAGTCTTTTCTTAAAAACCTCCAGTGATGAAGCACCTGCAACTTCTGGAGGCCAGCTGTTCCACTGGCTAATTGTCCTCACTGTTAAGACATTTCTCCTTAATTCCAGGTTGCTTCTCTCCTTGATCACTTTCCATCCATTGCTTCTTGTCTTTCTTTCTGGTACTGTATCAGCTGTATTGCAAGCAGGAGAGATTCTTCACGGCCATAGAAAAACTGTGTTTTCTTTTTGTTTCTTCTCTTTAAATTGTAGTAGACAGTACAGATATTCAATAAATAAAAATAAACAAGCATTTCAAAATTTAGACATTGGGAAACTGTAAGGGTGAGAATTAGAAATGAAATGCTTAATTTCTCCTTATTATTCCTTATTGTTCCTCTGTAAAAATGTGTTACTTTAGAATCTGTTTTTCTAATTTTTTTTTTTTAAAAAGAGGTTTCACATTCTGTAATATAATTGCAAATTTCACAAGAG